TCTTCTTCCATAGTGTGCTCCCTATATATCCAGCTCCCGTATTTTTTTAAATATACAGAGAAAACTGATACTGTAAATCAGGTTAAATTGTCTTTAATGGTACTGCCTTATGTCTGAAGAGTTCCTGTGTTATAGTAAGACATTTCTCTCTTAGGTTTAACACATTGGCAGAGTCATTCTTTTACTTCTCATACAAATGTAAACTTAGAAAACAGTTTATTTCATCCGAATGTGCAATCTGAAATCAAAAACTTGAATGTAAACTTCAGAAAATCAAAACTACAAGAGCACGCTTTTCACAAGAAAAATCGAAGTAAGAAAAACATTTGGAATTTAAAAAAAAACAACCAACAATCCAGCCTGTTCAAATCCATGGTGTTAGTGTCTGTATTAAATAAAAATACCTGGGGGCTCAATGCTCTGCTTCTGCAGACTGCTGTCACCCACGGGAACTCCATGGAATACAACAGTTTGCAGCAGCTGAGGAGGTGGTCCCATGACTAATCCTAAAAGGACCTAAGTACTGATCTGATTCTTAATGCTTGCCTTAATTATTTTACTGATCCTACGCTTACATATTCATAGCAGAAAATAATCTCAAGAGCTGCAAAATGTCAGACATTTAATTAGCTATAAGTGCCTTGATGAACAACAAATATACCAAGCCAAATCAATCCCTGGTACCACTTTGCACACAACTGGCTTCCAAATTACACCAGAAAAGAACACAGTTAATCTGCTTTTTCAGTGCATGCTACTTATTTTCAAGAAGATATGTTTTTCCAATGCCAGCACAGACCAACAAATTCAAGGAGCACTTTTTTACCTATGAAAAAAGAATAGATTGATTTTCATAGATAAAATATTCCACTTTAATATAGGGAAGGTTCTAGCAGCTGTCTTCATTTAATCAAAGTACAAAGGGAAGAAATGTGGGAGTCTAAATTGCCTATACTTAATTTTCTTTTGGATTAACTGACAGCTGCATTAATTAAAAAAAGCCCAGTGTCAGAAAACAGATCAACTGTGTTCATGGCCAAGAAACTATGTATTTATGTGCAATACAGATATATTTTTACCATATCTTTGAAAAACTATTAAGAAAAATGTACTAATGAAATCAGTGATTTGGAAAATATGTTTCACGTAATCCTTGCGGTCGGAAGGGAAATCATCTAGCTCAAACCCTTATGCTCCAAGCAGGGCTAACTAGTACCAATGAGTTTATTTATTGCAAAAAGAATAGCACATCATACACTAGGTAACTTGTTCAAAGAGTATCTTTTTTTTCAGTTTTCTCCTTTTCTTTTCCATTGCTTATGTCAGTATTTTCTTTAATTTCAAGTAAGAGAGAGAACAATTTTCCCACAATCATTCTACTAAATGAGCAAAAGTAACTGCGGGGTTGGGTTTTTTTCCAGTTTGCTTAATATCAGGCACGATTCTGTTCTGACTTCTGCCTTTGCAATAACTTAACCAGTGGTTTCATGCTAGGTGCGTGTATGAGATCTTTCTGGGTTGTGGTTCGGACAGCCATATGACCAGGCTATTATCATTTGCCATCACTTCCTGCCTTGGAATTAGTTGATGGG